ACTTTTTTGAAATGTAGAGTTTTATTTATAAGTTAATGGAACTTGTATATTAGTCCATAGAAAGTAATTGTACCCCTCAGTAAGCACCTCCCTTCTCTACCTGGTGAAACCTGTGGTCTTTATGGTCTTTATGACTTAGACTAATATTCTAGGTAGAAGCCCAGTGCCACTGGCTTCAGTGTTTGCCTCTGTGTCATCTCTCTCTCTCCTCCTTTGTTTACCTCTAACCATTCTTTTCCACTCCCCTCAGGTGATGATCCTTAAATCATCTTTCTTGTTCCCTAGCCCCTCTCCTTTACTGTTTCTACAATTAGGCTCTCCTCCAGCCGGTGGCAGCCACTCTCTTTACCAAGGGACCAAGCCACTCACCCAGCTAGGATGGGACCAAGGCTTCAAAACTTTCAAGTGTAAACTAAATGGGTTTTTTTAGATCTATGATTCATTCAATTCTTTTTTTAACTGACTCAAACATCAACTTCTTCCCAAGTAGTTTTAATTAGTGAAGTTTTATAGGAAAGAAAGGCAAAGCCTTAAAAAAAACTTTCCACTTAATTGTTCTCCAGTACTCCTAATCATAATCATAATCATAACAAATGTCTTGGTATCCAGTTACCAGAAAGGTAGAGCAGGGTAAAGTTTACAGAGAGCTGTGTAGTATGTTTTTCTTTGTCATAGCCAAGTAACTGCTGCTGTGGTCAAAATGAAGGCTAGCCTCTCCTAGAAGAGAAGGTAAAGAGGTTCAGGGAAGTGATATATCCCTTAATATAAAAACAAAGTTGAAAAAAGATCTGAAGAGGGAGAAGGCAATACTGACCTTTGTGAGGGAATGAGAGGATAGAAGAATGAAATAGAGGAGAAAGGGAATAGTAATAGTAATGATAATAATGGTTAACATTTATAGAATGCTTTAAGGTTATCTCATTGATTCTCACAACAATCCCGTAGGGTAGGTGCTATTATTTTCCTCATTTTATAGATAAGGAAACTGAAGCTGAGGCAGGTTCATTGACTTAGGGTCATACCGCTAAAAAAGAGTTTGTGAGGTAGGATTTGAACTGGTCATTTCAAAGTATTAGGTGAGTCTGTCTTCCAGGGGAGGAGATATGGATCCGATCCAAAGGTGTTGTCAAGAGATGATGACCCTGCAGAGACAAGTGGAGGCAGCAGATTGACCTGACATTAACAATTGAGGTCTGTATCCAACATGTATCAGAATCTCCCAAGACTTGTCCAACTGGATGACTACTATCCACTTATGAGGAGTCATGAAATCACAAACAATAATGCCCAAAGAAATCTACAAAGTATTTCTAAGGATTATGAAACATTGGGTAAGAAATTGGTTCTTGGATTTGTGAAAGTAGAATGATTTCTAGAAACTTCAAGTTGGAAAGAAATTTGGGGGTCATGTAGTCCATCTGGATTATTGGGGTCACAGGAAAGGAGCAATATAATGAATATGACTACTGCTAACTCAGTAGCACTGTTAATGTTTAATTCCTATAATTACCATGATCTGCAAGTATCATATCATTCATAACTAATCCTACTTAGTGCATATCTCTGGGGAAAGTCAACCCAGGAAGGTTTGGAAACCGTGCAAAAAAAGAATTCTGATGAGGAGTGAAAAAATTGTAATGATGGAGATCAGGAGATCTTCACTTTTCTTATGTCATGGACCCCTTTGGCAGTCTGTTGAAGCCTATGGGACCCCTTTTCAGAGTCATGTTTTTAAATATGCAAAATAAGATAGATAAGATTACAAGGGAAAGCAATTATATTTAAATGTTATCAAAATATTTTTTTTTTTAAAAAGAGGTTTATAAATCTCAGAGTAAGAAACCCTGACCTAAAGAGACAGGAAAATCATGTCAACTTATTTTTTTTTTTAAATACATCCTCAGAAGACTTTAAGAAAGAGGATGAAAGGATGTTTACAAGTATGGTGTGGTCCTATAAGAATGATGTCAGGTGTATTGAAGTTCAGAATATCTAGCTAAGAATGTGGAAGACAAAAAAAGGGGGGGGAGGGAATTTTTAGTTACATTAGGGAAAAAGAAGAAAATTTCAAAAGGCATAGAAATATGCCTCTGAGTAGATGGGATGCTGATAATGGACAAAAGAAAGAATTTTATTTGTTTTTTGCTCCTGCCAAGGAAAATTGTCTTTGTACTGGAAAGAAATTGAGCCTGAAGGTAAGTGGGGGGAGATAGTAAGGAATTATCCAGCCACCCTGATGAATTCCTGTCACCAAACTAAATGAAGTATGTCCTAGGGCACAGAAAGAATTAGTGTAGGAAAAACAAAACAAGACAAACAAACAAACAAACAGAAAAAGAATTAGTGCAGGGCTTCTTAAATTTTCTTTTATTGTAGACTCCTTTGGCATTCTGGTTAAATCTATGGACCACCTTTCAGAATAATGGATTTTTAAAATTATAAATTGAAGGAAATGCTAAATTTCAATTAGAGGTTAGTGAAAATAAAAATGTCATTTTTTCTGGACTCCCTTGAAATCTATGCATATCAAGTTAAGAATCCCTGAACTAATAAACGTGATGGCTGAGCCATTGTCAATGATCTTAAAAAGGACAAATGTGGAGAATGGGAGAGAGGGCCACAGGAGTGGAGAGGAGAAAATACCTAACTCTTATAAAAGGGAAGGAGGTAGAATTGGAAAATGATAGGCCAGTGAACTTGATTTTGATTCTGGACAAATTCTAATACCTATTAATTATGAAAAAAATACTTAGACATGTCTAGAAAAGGAAGCAATCACAAAAAAAGGTAGCATGTATGGCTTCAACGAGAACTGGTCTTTTGTGTAGTTTTCTAAATTAATTTTTTTTTTTCAGTTATCAAGTATTTATTTACTTTCTCTCTTCACTGTAAAAAGAGAAAAACAAAATCCTGTAACAAATACACAGAATCAAGCAAAACAAATTACCATATTGGCCATTGGTCCTCTGGAATCAAGGTTGATCACTACACTGATCTTAAATTTTTTCAAAGTTTTTTTTTCAATGTTGTTGTTATAGTATAAATTGTTCGCCTAGTTTTACTCACTTTACTCTGCATCAGTTCATACAAATCTTCCTAGATTTCTCTTTCTAAACATTCCTTTCTCAATAATGTTTTGTCTATTCCTTCATCATAATTTGTTCAGCCATTCCCCAATTGATAGGCACCCCTTTAGTTTCCAGTTCTTTGCCACCACAAAAAGAGTTGCTATAAATATTTTTGCACATATGGGCCTTTTTCTTTTTCCTTTCATCTCTTGTTGGATTGCAGTGTAGTAACTTTTGGGGCATGGTTCCAAATTTCTTTCTTTTTTATCTAGTATTTTACTTTATTTTGAAATGTCCAATGCAGAGCCTTACAAGGTCATCCTCCCAGTCAATAGGTCTGAAACCAAAATGTCCTTTATGAGGTTTGCTTCCCACCTATAAGCATCAGTTCTACAATAACCAGATTGCTATGTATAGTGTACAGGAACAGTTTCATAATGTCACTTCAGAAATGACCAGCAAAATTTCAGACATATCACTATAGCTTCATTTAATCAAGTAGTCTAGATTATAAGAGTTTTTATTAGGAAATTTTGATGTAAAATTATGACTTACCAAAAAAAAAAAAAAGAAAGAAAATTAAAAATATTCTATGGATCTTTGCAGTGCTAGACTAGATAATCTTGGTTTGACCCAAAACTCTAATCAGGCTGACTCAATTTAAAAAATATCCCAGGCAAGTCCCCACAGATCCCCACATGATTCTCATGGATCCCTTACTATCTCCCAGGTTGGATGACCTGTGTTGAGCCATGGTCATTGTTTGCTGAGAATAGATATTTTTGATCTCCATCCCCAGCAGAATCCCTACATCTTCCATGCTATTTTTGTGGAGATAATAGAGACATGCAGACTAAATGGATTATTTAACAGACTATATGGCAGAAAGAGTTGAAGATTTGGTCCTAGAGGGTAACTGAGCCTAAAGGACCATTGATTTAGAGACAGAGCTTTAGCAGTTCCTGATTGGGGGGGGGGGGGCCATGAACTGGTACCCGATCCTCCCCATTGTAATCCTGGAAGACGCCAGCATTCAGTACCTTGAACGTCAGAGCTTTGAAGTACATGTATATGCCTGCCCTGGAAGATACCTTCAGACAGAACAGGAAAATTTCCACAAGAAGAGAGGTCCCAACCCACAGCCATCTTCTTAAAGCAATAAGTGTACATTTCCCACATCCCTGGTAGCACCCCCCAAGTTTAAAAAGAAGCTAATGGGTGAAGAATATTTCACCCTCCAGATCCAAAGTCACCACCTCTGTGGCTGCTTCAGGAGCTTAAAGAAGCCTTGGAACTGAAAGGAGCCCATAGTGGGAAAGAACCTGAAGGGAGCTGTCTGCATCGCTGCCAACTGAAGACCACAAGAGGAGATTCCATCCCTATCAAGGCAAAAGACTTTTGGTAAAAAGTAAAGTTCCCAGGGCAGCTAGGTGGTACAGTGGATAGAGGTCCGGCCTTGAAATCAGGAGGACCTGAGTTCAAATGTGGCCTCAGACAATTGACATTAGCTGTGTGACCCTGGGCAAGTCACTTAACCCCAATTGCCTCACCAAAAAGCAAACAAGCAAAAAAAAAAAGTAAAGTTCCTGACTCCGACTGACATAAACACCTCCAACTCACAGACCCTCTGTTTCTTATTTCCCACATGCAACCTCTCCTGAAGTCTCACCTTTGGATCTTTCCACTATTCAGCCCTCCCCCTTCTTCCAGCCTTAAAAAAATATTAAGGTGTTACTTGCTGAAACAGATATATTAAGGGGGAGTGGAGCCTGAATCCTTGTATAGTCTTTTCTCCACTAGGCCTTGTAAAGGCTTTGATCCTCACCAGTGGAAAAGGACTTCAGGGCTTTAAATGGCTAACAATGTATTGAACTTACGTTTACGAATATTGTTTGTCAGTATAGGGCTCAGCTGAATCTTTTCACCTTTTAGGAACTGTTGATACGCCTTCTCTGCATGACAGAATCCAGGCTAGTCCAGACCCCAAAAAGGTAATTATGCTTTTCTCAATAATTTTTGTTTTATGTATCTTGGTAAAATCTAGCCCTTTTCCTGAATCCCTGCTGCCCTTGTTAGCAGTGGCTGAATAATCCAGTTTAGCGGCTTGGAATAAAAAGTGTCATGGAGCTTAGGGCTAACAGTGCCTTTCTGTATCATGCATCATTGATCACTGCCATGAGACCACGTATAGATTCCTTTTACTATGCTTGCTTTGACATGATACAAAGTGCATGTACATGTTTCGGTTTGGGTTGTTGATCATTCCTGCAAATGATCTGTGTCCACAGGCAATGGATGATTTCTTAAAGAGACAGAAGATGGGAAGAATAGCAACTGCAGAAGAAGTGGCCCTGTTGTGTGTGTACTTGGCCTCTGATGAAGTGAGTGTTTCCTCCTCCTGGACGATGTGTCCTGCGTCCCCGGCAATCTGCCCACCAAAAACGACATTTTTAGGGAACTTGCAAACTTCATGGTGCCGTAGCAACCCAAAAAGGCCAAGTCACAATATAATTTGTTCAAGGAAAAGCCAGTGAACTCCTTCTTTTGATTCAGGTCTTTACCCCTTCCTCACTGCTTTTCACGAAGTGAAATTGAGGGTTGAAAACAATAAGGAGGTCATCACACAATACTCCAGATTTAGAGCTGGGTCATCAAGTCTAAACTCATTTGCAGATGAGGAAACTGAGATTCAGAAAGTTTAAGCAACTTGTCCAGGGTCGCACAGTTAGTAAATAATAGGACTTGAATTCAGATCTTGCTACTCCTACCTCCAGTGCTTTAACCAGTATACCACCAAGCTGCCTCACATGACAAATAGCAAAAATTACACAATTATGTAAGCCATACCAATTAACCTCTTGTGTAATGAGGACTTTGGGGTTAGCCAGTTTGAGAGAGCCATTTTAGTTATGCCCAGAGGATAGTTTTGGCTCAGAAGATTTACAGCTTGGGGGATCGGGGTGTAGTGAAGGGAGTACTTTGTTTAGGAAAATTCCACCATTCGGTTTTCATGAATTCCGACCGGTGTGTCATCATGTACGGAAATGACTACTATTTTTCTTCCACTCTACATTGACTGTTTCCTGTCCATTTTTTCCTTAATAACTAGTATTCATTTCTTAAGTGGTGTGGAACTAGGAAGAAGAAAAGAATCTTATAAGACTCTAAAAGATTCTGTCCCTCTTTATGTTACATGTTTTATTGTTAAGTGATAAGAGAACACATACTAACTCAATGGTCAAGGAGCGAGACATAGGAAAGGAAAAGTAGGCTTGAGGGGATGGTGGGATTGTAGAATTAGTGCCTCATGGCAAGGAATTACCTTATACTATTTGCTTATCAGAAAGACCTAAAACTGATTTAAGTGAAAAAGAAGAGGTCATCTGGTATTGTAGAAAGAGTGTTGACTCTGAAGGCAGAGGATTTGGGTTCACATTCACCATTCTGAAAATTGGTATGGGATACTGGACAAGTTGTTGACCTCTAGGCCTCAATTTTGTCATCTGCAAAATGAAGGGGTTAGATTTAGAGAATTTAGGGAGCCTCTAAAGTCCTTTTCAGAACTAAATATATGATCCTGTGATCCTTATATTATCTCCGAAACTTAGATATGAAAGGGAGTGATTAGACAGATTCCTTACAAAATTATAAATGGAATAGGCACTTTGGAGATTTCCTCCACCTCTTCAGTACTTCAGTGACCTGTGACTTCAATAGTGTGAGTATTGCCTCCATTGATGTAAATCACTACTCTTCTTTGACTAAGTAGAAAGTCTTAGTAAGCTGTTAGGGCTCAAAAATTGATCACCCCACAGACAATCCGGTGCTGTGTCCAACCTTAATTAGGCAGGTCTCAGACAAGTCTATCACCAAACCCAACCTTAAAGACTTTCCAGATGAGTAGGACTTCCAGGATTAGATTCTACTCTGAACCTCTAGGGTCACCTCCACGTCACAGGGAGGCATCAGAGAAGGCGGCTAGCATAAGGTCACTTCTTCACAGACTATATAAAAATGAATGACTACTTCATTACTAGAAGGTACAGTGGGAGCTGCATGGAGAATGGAAAGCTGGATGCTGCCAGTACGTCTGGCTTTCCTTTAAGATAGATCTAAAAGAACATTTTGAAAATTGGGCAGCAGTTGAATTGCGTCTACAATACAGCAGGCCTTTGAGGGAGAGTAGAAAAAAAGAATCTAGCTTGTTTACATTTCATTTGTGTCTTTCTCCTGATATGTGTCTTAAAGAAATTATATTTTCTTAAATATATATTCATATTATATATAACATTCTATATTATATAATAAATATAATATATAATGTATGGCATTGTAAAATCTATTTTCTTAAAGAAATTGTATAAAAATATTTTTAGACTTAAGAGCCTGTTCATATAGGGATAGGGCCTGGATTTGTGATTTCATTATTATAGATAACCTCCAGATAAGGATACTCCCTCTACCAGTGCATGTAAGCACTTTCTCTGCAACTTATAATTTAGAGAGTTGCCTGGCCCATTGAGAAGTTAAGTGACAATCAAGATATAAATGAAATGTTTTACCATTACTTAGCAAATTTTTTGATGAGTACAAACTAGTAATAAAAGTAAGTTAAGTGTAAATTTAAGAGGTCAACCTTTTTACATATTCTCGGGGCCTTGAAAGATCCATTTACATACAAATCACTTAATATTCTCATTTTAAATCATGAAATCAAGGATTGAAAACAATAAAGTGGTCATCTCATAGATCCCTGACCTAGAGCTGAGAAGATACTTAGATACCATGAAGTGCAACCCATGTATTTTCAGATGAAGATGCTTATGACATAATGCTTTGTGAGCGTAGGATGAGTTATTGTATGTACTTGAAATAGACCTATGCACATGTACATCTACATGTGTGTGTAGGTATGTATACATGTATTCCCAATATAAAATTATTCGATTACTCTCCTCTCCTTATCTATTGAATAAGATGAACCTTCCAGAACTGTGTTACCGAGTACCATCTTTTCAAGTCTCAATGATACTTGTGAACTCAGATTTGTCACCTTGCACTAGAATGCCTCTGTTAACATTTATTAATAGTAATAGCTAGCATTTATATAGCCCTTTAGGGTTTACAAAGTACTTTATATGTGATTAAGTCATTAAATACATCTGTACTCCCGGAAGAGTTTGCTAAGCAGAGATAAAACATTCCATTCATGTGCTGATTATCATACATTCTGAATTAATGAGAGCCTGTCTCAAATTTTCTACATTTGTATATAAACATATGAAGCCATAGGTTTTTACAAAATCACAGATTTTCAAGGTTGGAAGGACCTTGGCAGCCATCAAATCCAACTCGTATCAAAAAAAAAAAAAAAAAGAATCCCCACTACAGCACGCCCAATGAATCATCACCTTTCCTTGAAAACCTCCCATGAAGGAGAAGCCTCTAGCCCCAGATACTATTCCACTTTTGGATAATTACAATTATTAGGAAGATTTCTTGAGTTTAAACTTTTTGTAACTTTCCATCCTCCTACTTCTGTCCTCTGGACACAAATAAGGTAAGTCTAATCCCTCTTGCAAATGACAACTATTAAACTCCTTATAGACACCTGTTGTATTCCTGCAAAGTCTTCTCTCTTCTAGGCTAAACATCTCTAGTTCCTTTAACTGATCTTTATTTGATATAATAGATTTAAGAGATTTTCCCTTTTTGGTTGCCTTCCTGGATCTTCTACAGCTTATTAATATCTTAACTGTGGCACTCAGCACTCACAGCATCATAGATCAAGAGCTCGAAGGGATTTCCTAGGCCAGCTAGGCCAACCCCTTCACTTTATAGATGAGGAAACTGAAACGAGAGAGGTTAAGTGACTTGGTCACCGTCACACAGGATGTAAGAGTTGGAGGTTGGAGTCAAATTCGGATCCTACGCTCACTCGTGTGCTTTCATTGTCTACCGTCTATATTAGTGATAAAATGTATGTGTTTCATATATAATATTACATAATACATAATAATTATGTAATTATATTATATATTACATATAATGTATAGTGTGTGTGTGTATGAGTTTGACCATTTAATCACCTCCAAATTCACCTGATTATGCTTTCTAGCCTGCATCTGTTCTTCTCTAGAAACATCTTATGAAAATTGCTTTTCCTTGTTTCTTAAGAATTTCTTTTTTGAGAGTTTCCCTGGTTTTTCCTATAGAATTATAGTTTATAGGACCTTGCCTATCTATTCTTCGACCCCTCTGAAATCTCTCCCAAAATCTAAGGTGCGTGACTAACTCTGCCTCACTTTCCCCTACTTCTCTATCACAAACTCAAGGAAGGAGCAGTCACTTCCCCTCAAAATTCCTATAATTTCTATCCCAGCAATTACTTCCCTCTTGTAGGTAAGGACCAGGCCCAGAATACAATTTCCCCTTGTTGATTCTATAAAGAATGGAGTTATTACCAAGGCAAGTCAGTAAGTTAGCATATGCTCTGCTTTTGGCAAAAAGAGCACTCCAATTAATGTTAAAGGGGTCTAATGCTGTTGCTATAGTACCATTGCCAAGATGGCTTATTTCCTCTTTTATACTGGATTTGTCACGGCAGCCAAATCTGTCAACCTAGGCCTTATAGTTTCGAGACTCCATGACTGTTCCTTATACCACCTCTAATCAGTCCTGATCATCTCACTTTTCCGAATTTCTTTATTCACGAATCTACAGATGATGCTGCACCTCCTTTTACCCTACCTGGCACCCCCAATTCATTGGGCAAAGTGCATGAACCAAAGTAAACATAAACTGTCTTTGAAAATTATGGGCGCCAAGCAGAATTTAGGAATTCCTGATTATTGTGCAAAACCACATAGGTGCAAAAGCTTGCTGTCAGCTAGTTCTGAAGTAGCTTGGGTTTCATGATGGAAAGAAAGCATTTTATCTTTATAGGAAATTTTCAGGGAAAGTTGTAGTGACTTCAAGTAAAAAAAATCTGTAAATACCAAGGCTCACCCAAACATGAGACCTTAGCAACAAGGGATTGACTCAGAAAGTCACTTGTTGAGTTACTGACGTTAATTCTTGGGTTTTAATTGCTGAGAGTGTTTTGAGTAATTTTGAATGTGTGTGTGTTAGAGCAAGAAAGAGACAGAGAGAGAGAAACACCAGGTAACAAATCTGTTTAATCCTTTTTATCCCCTGTTTTTATCGTTGCAGTCTGCCTACATGACTGGTAATGAAGTCATCATTGATGGAGGCTGGAGCTTGTGATTTCTGCATTGTAACAATGGAAAAGAAGCCTCTTCCTAGTTACACTGAGCTTGGACATGAATAGTAAACACCTAACAAATTTATGTAGCACTTTATAGTTTTAAAATGATACATTTAAATTTCATTGCTACATGATAATGTTGAATTTAATTAGTAATTTTTTTTTATTCTTCATATGAACATAATCAAAGTGATACTTAAAATTGATTCAATTAGAAGGTATATAATCTGTTACACAATTCTGAAATGTTCTTGATCTTTTTCTGTCCTCCTGAACTTTTTAGATACTCCAAATAAAATTATGTTGTGCTCAGTTGTTTTTGTAAGCTATGTGTCATTTTTTTAAAAAATTTCCAATTAAAAGTAGCTCAGAATAGAATTAATATATTCATTGTCTTACATGGTTTTGGAAGCCCTCGTGACCCCAGAAACAGTGTAGGGAATTTTAGGTTGCAATGGTTGTGCAGACACACATTGGTCCCCAGCCAGTGTGTTCTCTACCAACAAATCAGGCAAGAGACAGATACCGAAGAGAAAAGTATTTAATGAGGACATAACAGGAAAGCTAAGGGAAAATCAAATAGTAGAATCATTCTCCACCTCCCCGTGTATGTTAGGGGACAATTTCCCATTACTCTTCACATTTCTAGAGTCCTGTTCATATGATTATTAATTACACCTGCCATTGCTGCTTAGACCCCCTTCATAGCTGAGATTCCTCTCTGCCTTGAGAGCTACCATTAGCCAGAGTCTACATCTGCCGTTCTTCTGAGGGAGTGTTGTTATAATCACTACGTTGTTAGGTCTTTGGTAAATCCAGCACATATCACATCTGAATAGCGCACAGAAGGCCCCCTTCGGGTGATGGAAAAGACCCTTTTCTGAATTTAATTACCCCTTCTCAAGAGAAACTATCCCATCTTTCCTTCCTGATTAGTTTAGGGCTAGTAAATTCCCTTTTAACCCTGACATCTAGTTTTCAGGACCATGAAAATTATCTTGAAACTTCAAAAAGCTTTTGGGAGGCACTTTGGGAGGTATTGATGGGGAGGTATCTTTGTCCAGTATTCCAGCTATAGGCGCAAAGGCCGTTCCTTTATTTTCTCCACGGTAAAATTTGCAAATCACATCAGGTACACAAGTACAATTTATATATGTACCTCAAATATTTCTTAATTTGCATATTGCAGAGTTATGGGTACATTAACCCAAGATCGTGAGTTACATGGAGGTAAGCACTACCTAGTGTAGAAACTACAATTGTATATAGTATAACAAATTCATAGATCAATGCGTGGTAAATAAAAATCACAATTTATTTTTGATAGATAATATATATGGCCATATGTAATGTATACTTTGGGGCAGCACCATATGCAGGCATAAAAAGACTAAGGTCTAACTCCATCGAGCCTTTACTAACCACCTCTCTACCACCCTTTCAGCAGAATTTTTCTCCTGGGTTTGCAAGGTATAAAGAAGTTAAACACTTTCCTCCCTGTTCAGCTTCAGGCCAGGGATTTGGGAAAGTTCAGTTCTTGCTCTCTGAATAATGTAACACCCACTTTGGGTAGTGCCCTGAAAGATAGCCCTGTGCTGCATATGATTTCAAACGTATAAGAACTGATGCAGAGTCAAGTGAGCAGAACCAGGACAATTTATACTATTACATCAATGTTACAAAAATGAACAATTTTAGACTTGTGTAAACTGAAAAAGGAAATAAACCAAACCAAATTAGAATGCAAACGATTTATGTAATAACAACAACATCATAAAAATAAAAACTCTGAAAGCAATAAGAACATCTGATTTCTGTTTGCTGTTTTGGTTTACTCAATATTCACTGTTTGTGATGGTCTTTTGGTGGGAGGAGGCTAAACTGGTGAGCATAAGCTAAAGTATGCAGGAAAGAAGGCAGCCTTTCTTTACGAACTCCTAAAACTGTACCCCTAGACTAAAGATATTTGAAGGGGTGGCAGATGGGTATCATTCCAATCTAATACTCTGACTGAAGAGAGGAAAGAGGAAACTTATGCTGTCTTAGATCCTCCTGTCCCTCTGCCCCTTTCTTCACACTCGTCCCTCACCCCCCAACTAGGCTGTTGGTGATACAGGTACTGCTCTCAGATCATACTTATCCATGCCACCAGTGAGCTGAATCTATATACTTAGACAGCAGACACACACACATATGCATATATTTATTTTGGCTTACCTGAAGTACATTCAACAGCAGCTGGTACCTCCTCTACGGGGAGATCTTTCCCAGTCTCCCTGCACCCCAACCCTCACTCTAGTGCCTTTCCCTTAAGATTACCTCCCATTCATATATATATATATATATATAATAAACTAATATATAATATTTATATAATAATTATTGTATAATAACATATGTATTATATGTGTAATGTGTATATTATATATTTATATATAATATATAAATAATATGTGTGTATATGCATATACATACACACACACACACACATATATATATATATCTTATATGTACATAGTTGTATGTGTGCTGTCTCCTCCACTATAGTCCTTGAGGACAAAGACTATATTATTTGCCTTTCTTTGGCATGGTTAGCATAGTGTCCATCACATAGTAAGTACTCAATAAATGCTTGTTGACTGATTGACTGAAGTCATTCCCTCTGGCCTATAGGCCCAAGCCTGCCATCTGGGCCCTCTCCTTTCCAGAGGCCACAAGGCCTTGGCATGCCCTGTTTTGGGCTACCGTGTAACTCTCCCTGGCATCTTCATGCTAGCCTCTGCCTAGGTCCCCACTCGCATTGAGCTTCTCTTCCTGTCTTATCCTTTTTCTCTCCAAACCATCTCCAAGTGCATTTTCAAGCATCCCTATTTTCCAGTTCTTCAGAAGCTGGGATAAGAGATAGGCTTCGGGACAGAAACAATGGAAATCTTTTCCTGAGTCTTCCTCTAAATCCACCTTGCTCCTAGCTTTTACCTCTGCTTTCTGATACCCTGAGTTACTCACTGTAGCTTGTACTTAATGGGTGCTCAATAAATGTTTAACATGCCCCTCCCCTAGGGTTAGGTACCAGATTTTGCCCTAAAAACCAAAAAACCTAAGTCATATTATATATCATATCACTACCAGATATTTCTACCTATCACTCTTCACAACTCCTTCCATCCCTCAGGACAAGGCAAGGCAGGTCAGGGCAAGGCAGGATATGGTATCACAATGTCTCTGAATGTGGAAAAGTACACTGGATTTAAAGTTCAAACAGCTGGATCCTGCCCTGATACTTAAAAGCTGTGACATTTTATTTAAATTCTCTGGGCCTCAGATTTTTCATTTACAAAACAAGGGAATTGAACTAAATGATCAGTTAAGTCCCAAACCTAAATCTAGGTTCTAGGTAAACCCTTTATCTTAATCAGTGTGGATAATAATGATAATAACTAGCATTTACACATCACTTTGAGGTTTGCAAAGCTCTTTACCTATATCATCCAATTTTATCATCACAACAATCCTGGGAAGTGCTATTATTATTATTTCCATTTTACAGAATGAGGAAACCGAGGCAGACTGAGGTCATGACTGCCTCAGGGTTAATAATTAGTTAAATATCTGAGGTAGGATATGAACCCAGGTCTTCCCCCATTAGATTATAAGCTCCTTGAGAGCAGGAACTGACTTTTGCCTGTTTTTGTATCCAAAGTATGCACAGTGCCTGGCAAATAGTAAGCATTTAATAAATGTTGATTAATTGATTGACTGACTCAAGTGAAATCCCGCCTGAATTAGCTGGGCAACCCCGACCAAGGCAATTAATCTCTCTGAGCCTAAGCCTCTTATAAAATGGAGGAGAGGAGATAGATAAAACCATCTACCTTATCAGGTTGTTGTGGGGATCAAATGATGTAATGCATGTTTATGACTCTTGTGCTACTACTATCTAGCAGAATAATAATGGGGGCAGCTAGGTGGCACAGTGGATAGAGCACTGGCCCTGGATTCAGGAGGACCTGAGTTCAAATTTGGCTTCAGACACTTGACACTTACTAGCTGTGTAACCTTGGGCAAGTCACTTAACCCTGATTGCCTCATGCAAAAAAATAAATAAATAAATAAATAAATAAATAAATAAAATTAGATGGAAACACTCAGAGGACATGGGTTCAAAACCTTCCTCTGTCATATACTACCTCTGTAAGCCTGGACAAATCATCTACCCTCCCTGGGTCTCAGTTTTCTCATCTGTAAAATGAGAAGGTTGAACAGGCTACCTTCTGAGGTCTCTTTCAGCCCTAGTTCCGTGATCTTTTGGTCAAATATTAGGACTTAAGTTTTGGCTTTGCCACTAGCTCACCTGATCCTGGACAAGTATCAACCTCATTTCCTGCATCTTTAAAATGAAAGGGCTGGACATCTCAGATGCCTTCCCACTCCCAAATTCTAGGATTCTACTCAGACAGAGGGGTGGACTAGTGACACTACTGACTTTGAGACCCCTGTAGTTATATCAAAGAACTGTGATTTCTTCAGAGAGGTAAAATAACTTGTCCAGGGTCACACAGCTAATAAGTATTAGTGGAAAGATGTGAACCCTATAAGATATCAGTTAAAATGATGCTAGTTCTTTATAAATCCATAAAAGACTTCAAGTGACAAACATAAAAACACTTTGTATTCCAAGCATAGTGTTTTGTTCTAAATTTGTATGAAAGACAATTTCTGAAATGCACAGTAAACACTAATTAACTATCTCTCCTACTAAAAGTTCCCATTATATACCTTCCCCCCCATACCCTGCAAAATACAATATAATCCAGCAAGATTACGATGTGTTTCCAGTCACATGAAGCGATCCTAGGGATATATCAATGAAGAACTTGGGACTGGGAAAGAAGGAAAAATATACTACGGGGGGGGGGGGGGCAAGAGGAAGTCGGCACCAAGAAATTTTTGTATGATTTATGATAAAAAGAGCTCCAAAGGGGAAAGAGCTCCACTCTCTATTGAGAAGCAGCAACGGCACCTGAGAAGCAAATGTTTCGAGTCTATGCTTTCTTTTCTTTAATATACAAGGATTTGAGAGGTGTAAAGGTTTTATGGAAGAACCACTGTAGGAAAAAAAGACACTTCCAAGGCCAGACCACGCACAGATTCTGCTAAGAGAGTGAGGAAAACAGGTAAGAAAACAGGTAAGGTTTAATTTGGGAAGAAAAGTGATCAGGACTAGCCTCGGTAAGGATAAGACCATTTCCAATGTGTAGTTTTTCCTTTGTTCTCGAAGAGGACCATGACATCAGAGAGATGA